CCCCAAAACCCCAAAACCCCAAAACCCCAAAACCCCAAAGAGGAAATTTAAAGATCTTATCATTAAAAAAGTAAATAATCATTTAATTGATTTTATATCTATACTTAGGTTGGTTTCAACCTTGTAAAGCTCCTCATCATTTAATGTGCTTTTCTTTTCTGTAAGTTATAGATGAAGTTTTATATATGCTTCCTATCTTATCCTATATTCCTAAAGGACATTGAAGTATCTGAAGGCAATATGATCTGGATCCCAGTTTTCCTTCCATTTTTCTAGGTCTTCATCCTCTATATCATTTATTTCTATTTTTAGTTCATCTGTTATTTAAGGATTAACTTTTTCCTCTACTTCAATCTTTGATTTTTTGAGTTTCTTTATTATTTCTGAGAACTTTTTCTCTTGTTCTTTACTAAATTTCTTCTTCATTGCTTTGTAGCTTCTTTCGAGGCATACCAATATTTACTTGAAATGTGGATCTGAGGATTCTAAGAACTAAAGTCCATCCACCACTGCTATATTTGCAAGGATCAATGCACTATTTATATCACCTTTTACATATTCAGCATTGACCTAAATTAAGCACTGCAAAATGAAGACTTTATTGGAATCTTGAGGTAAATTATTGAATTTTTAAAGTGTATCAGGTAACTCCTTGTTTAAATATGAGAGGCATCCTAGAGCAATTTGGTATTTTTACTAATTTAGATTCATCATTATATCGCAAATAATAGCGCATTGCTACTTATATTTCCTAAACTATTTCATTTTCAATTTTAGAGTGTTAGCTTCCTTATCAGAGAGCTAGAGAAAAGTATTAGCAAACATTTTTCTCAATCCTTGGTAAACGAAATCGTCAACTGGCAAGTCCACCAAACTTAATTAAGCTGGGTGATATTCTCTCACACAAGAATTCAATATAAACCATCTCGAAAAGGTTGATAACTCTTCACATTTCAGGAATATTGGGAAATTGATCAAATTGTGCTGAATCAAACTGGATCCTTTTTATTATGAAAGTTGATTATTGATAAAGTTTACTCTAGCTTTTTAGGTATCTACAATGCTCTTGACTATTTTCTCTGCTTTAAATGTTGATACCTCTTTGATGAATTTATGATTTATATCCTGAACAAACTTTTTAAGTGAGGGATCAATCTTTAGGTCAATACCTTTGTAGATATCCAATATTGATGTCTTTTCAAGATAGCTCGCTACTTTGCTATTAATATAAATAAGACTGTATGCGGTATTAGTTTAATTTTGACCACCGTAAGCATCTTATAATACAGTCTCTTCACTTTCTTGATGCACGATGTGATCATTAAACTTCCACCAAATCTTTGTTTTTCTATCGTAGACATAAGAAAAGTAGTGGCCACTATCTGCGTATCCTTGATGAACTAATATACCATGAAGATAATAGGGTGTCTCTTTTGACTAGACATAAATATTTTTGAGTTTCTTATTAAGATTCTGGATCTAGTCCTCTAGGGTACTCATTTATTACCCAACTACATTTTGATAAATTTTCAAAACTTTCAAGGCATTCGTCAATTCTTCTTGCGAAAAATCTAATTATCCAATTTACTACGGATTATGAATAGTGATTTATTCACCACCAATTATGTGATGAATAGGACTTGGAGGGAATGAACTATTGATATCTAGAAATTAGAATGCCGATCCTAAGGTATCTAATAAGCTTACTCCTCCATTATTATTAGTCGGTATGTATTTTTGATATTACTCTATACTTTATCGCATAATCTTTATCTAGTCATTAATCTGTATAACATCTTATCTTAGCTAATCAGTCTTTTCTTTATTCTGATGTAAGAACATATCTGCGTAAATGACCTTATCAAAAGTGAATTAACTCATATTTTTGACTGCTCCTTTTGACTTTTGATCATATTAAACTCTATTAAGAGAAAAGAACAACACATTAGGAGGCTCTGTAATGTAAAACTCATTAATGCATTTACTAGTCTCCTAATCTTTTAAATAGCCTTACACCTGATCTTAAAATGATTCATTCCATGCTTCGTAAAGCCTCTAGTGTTATATGTCTAGATATATTGGTCCTAATTTTTCCCGCTTTTCAGACATTACTAATTCTCTTTAGTCGTTCTTTATGATCTTCAAGATTGATATTTTTTCTCCAAAGAAATTTTCTTAGATTGTATTCTTAGCTCTTTGTTTAGAATCTATTTATTGAGTACTGTTGAATTTCTATTCACCAACTATTTTGTTCAAATCAAAGACAAGAGAGGATTTCCTATCAACCTGCTAGCTTAATGTTTGCTGAAATTTCTACTCTTCATTCAGTTTATTATTATCTCCCTATGCATTTTCATTAAGATTTGACTCTCCTAGTCCCTCTTCGATTCTTTCAATAAAGTTTAATTAGAATTCTCCAATATCTTTCTACTCGCCTATCAAAATACGATTACCGAAATCATCAACCAAAGTTTTCAATACTTAGGTAGGATCAACGTACTTCCTATTAGACATTATCAACTAAGCTAGAAGTTTAGAAAGATGATTAACTAAATTTCTTGAGTAACGCATCCTCCTTTTGTTTAACTCTTCAATGTTGGTTTTTTAAAGCTGCTTGAGTTATTCCTCTAGTCGATTATCTGGCAGATAAGCTTTCAAAATTTTCTCTGTGAAATTTGGTACAAAAAAGAAGCACTGAATCAATGAGTTAAAATAGCATGCTAAATGACTGTGATTAATGTAAAAATTAAATTACTATTTCCAATGTTTTTAAGACCAACTGGTGTCTCATCTTGTCTTTGTCTATCCTCAGCATCAAGAGGTTCGTACTCGAGAATGAGTTCATCTTCAATATTTTACTGACTCTGATTTAGGCTGATCATTGTCTTGTTAGATGAAGAATTCGCCTAAGTCTTCTTCATCATACTTTATTCCATTGCTAGCTACATTTATCGACCTTCATTCTAAAATACGTCATTATAAACTGAGACATTGTACATAATTTATGAGAGATCTAGACGTGTTTTTCGAAGAACTTGATTAAGTTGACTAATCTTCTTCGGGTATCCCACTAACGAAAAATAACTAACATTTATAAATTCTTACCTTGAAAGAAGATAATCAATAGCTTGCTCAACGTTTCCATTAAATATTTGCAAAGCATTTTCAGCCTAGGCCTTCTAGAATCCTATTTGCATAATCTAGCTTATCTTCTACTAATACTCTTTTCCCATTTTTATCAGCTTAAAATACAAATTTATTTGAATATCTTAAAATAATTACATAAATCTTCCAACGCATATAAGTGAAAGGGGTTTTGGGGTTTTGGGG